TTTTCTTGCCCCCCCCCCCCCCCCCCCCCTTGAATGGGCAACTGCCAGCATAATCCCTAGTCTGCACAAAACCACAGCACTTTTTGCCCCATGATAACTTTTCAGCACAACTTGCCTCGCTAAAGCCTGTGCATTGGTTACAAGTCCAAATTTTTATTGAGAAGTTTAGGATGGAGTGGCACGTTTTAGGTAATTTTAACATTCCATTTATATTTTGATCTTTGGGCCACTTGAAAGTTTGTTTCTGTGCAAATGTTCTATTTTACCTGTTGGTCTTGGGCAGTCATTTTGGTACAATAAACATATTTACTCCCTTGAACTAATGAAAATTAAAAGCTACTTAGACCAGAATTCTTCTTCCGGCTCTTGGAGAGTTCAGACGCTTTTCTCCTCCTCTCCTCCCTATCTTATCCCAAGGCTCTTTGTCTGTCTTTGGGTGTACAGCGCTTCTGCATTTTTACTGGAAACTGGAAACGTATTAAAATGGACCTCTGATCTATATTAAGGTAGCGCGACTCGGTTTCCGAATGACCACAATCACCAATTCTTGTCATGTGTCTATGCCTATGTATGTATGTATGTCTGATCTTAGAATTGTGTGTACTGAAACTCTAATTTCCCTCTGGGATTAATAAAGCATCTTTGAATTGAATTGAATTGAATTGAGATCACAGTTCTTTTGGCTAAACAGCTCCACATTGATTCATGTCGACCTGATTTTGCCAATCTTCACATTGCCACCATGCATTGAGATGTATTTCTTGGATATTTACAGAAAGCTCTATGGTTAAGTGCATCATCTGCAGCAGCTGCATTCAGAACTTGTCGTGCATCCAGTCCAACAGGACTTGATAAAACTAAAAGATGATGAAATAATGTACTGTTTTTATTTTATTTATTTTTTCATTTTTCAAGATGCACCAATCATCTTTGGAGATGATTTCATATAGATGAGTAATTTTAAGCAGGTAAATATGTTGTGTTGTCTATCGCTGCTAACTTATAACCTCTAACAAAACATCAAAACACTCCTTTTGTTGTAGCAGCTCCTAAAATATGGAATGTTCTACCCCTGCAATTCCTGTCTTCTTTCAAAATGTTTCTTCTACTCCCTGGCCTTTGACACCATCTGAGATAATGACTTTCCCTTTTTTTAAACTATGGAACTTCTAAAAGCCGTGGGCTTTAGATTGTATCCATTTCAATCAATCATCAATTAATCAATCAATCAATCAATCAATCAATCAATCAATACTTTATTAATCCCAGAGGGAAATTAGAGTTTCAGTACACACAATTCAGAGATCAGACATACATGGGCAAGACACATGACAAGAATTGGTGACTGTGGTCATTCGCAACCCTGAGTCGCGCTACCTTAATAGAGATCAGAAGGTTACATGAGGATTGGTTCAGGTGGAGGGAAAAAAAGGCACTTCAGAGTTACCTTCCACCAGGAGGGCAGCTTTGCTCTGCAAAAAAAAAAAAACACCTCAACAGATATGCAACAGACTTCAGACAACACAACATAACATGAGACTCGTGTAGGAAAGCGGGGTGGTGGGTGGGTGGGTGGGGGGGTGGTGGCTGGGATACTGTTTCCCCCAGTGAGAGCAGCCATCTACGGCGCTCATCTACTGTACAGTCACAGGTGGGAGGGAGATCTTGGGAGAAGCAAAGAGCACATTGACTCCTCCAGTTGATGACCTCGCCAGGCTGAAGTCCACCAATCTGAAGGCGGGGTGGGGGTGGGGGGTGGGGGGTAGGTCGGGTTTTCACAGCATCTGTCTGCATTCCTTCGTGGGGGTTATAGTTGCTTGCAGCTCAAGGCTACCAGGGCGTCAGATTCAGATAACAAGAATTTGTTTGGGTCAGGCTGAGATAATTTTCCTCTCTTCCTTCAGTCTTTAAGGGCAGCAGTAGCTCAACAGGTTGAGCGGGTCGTCCAGTAATCGGAAGGTTGCAGGTTCGATCCTGGCTCCGGACAGAGAATTCTGCTGTTGTGTCCTTGGGCAAGACACTTAACCCACCTTGCCTGCTGGTGGTGGTCGGAGGGACCGGTAGCGCCTGTACTCGGCAGCCTCGCCTCTGTCAGCATGCCCCAGGGTAGCTGTGGCTACATCGTAGCTCATCAACATCAGTGTGTGAATGTGTGTGTGAATGGATGAATGATACACTGTAGTGTAAAGCGCTTTGGAGTCCTTACTCTGAGAGGCGCTATACAAGTGCGGGTCATTTATCATTTATCATTTAAGCTGATCATTCCAGTCCTTCAGTGAAGCCAATTTTGGGTTTTAAGCTTGTCCATACCGTCTGGTGACTCTCTCTGAGATGACATCCATTTTGCGCACTAATAACGGTATCGCAGCTAGAACATTGTCCAGCTTACGATTCACCTCGAGTAACCTCCCAGTCTGAGAAGTCTCCACATAGATGATGCTTTCCGTGGGTGCGGGTCGCCCTCCAATCACTCCCGTCTTCCCAAAGTTCCATAAAACCAGACATCCTCCCACTCTAATCGGGAGAAATCCAGTGATCATCAGACCAAATATCCACACGTCTTCGATGTCCTCAATGGACAGCTGGGAGAGGCATATGATCTTCCACTCCTTCCAGGAATCCAACATATATCCCACCGGGTGTGTCCCTTGTGGACATGTGGGAGCCCCCTGCTCCGTTCTCATTGTTGAAAAAATCTTATCGATCGTGTTGAATGACCAGTTTATCAAATCCATGGTTAGTAAAAAAAAAAAAAAGAGTTTTTCAGAAGAAATGCAGAGAAGCGCCGTGTGGGCAGACAGGACAAAGAGCCTTGGGAAAAAAAGATAAGGGAGCAAAAGAGGGAAGCGTCTGTACTCTTCGAGTACCTGAAGTGAAACGGTACTTTAGTGATCTTTTACAGGACTTAACCCCTGAATTTGCTGGATGTGCTACATTTAGTTGCTTATAACAATAATAATATTGCTTGTAAAAAAATAACAACAATTAACAATTGCATATATACCTGCTTTGCAAAAGGAATATTATTGCTGTTGGACACCAGTAGCATTGCACTTTGGGCTTGGCTTCTAGCTCATCAGTCCTGTTAAATCTGAAAGCTCCAACTGCTGCTAAGGAAGTTATGAGTAAATTGGTGATTATTTACACCTTTCACACACAACAACACTTAAAACGACTGGGAAACTTATTTAATGTTCCCATTCACTTGTTTTTCTACAAATTTGCAGTTGTCTGTAGTATAAATGAATGCCTTGTCAATCTCTGTGTGAAATGAAGTTCTGGAACACCTGTTTCAGGAAGTAGACGTTAGCCAGAAGAGTGGAGGGTGGAAAAAAACAGGATCAGGAGTCTTACTCATTGTTGTTTATATGCAGTTGTCCTATCTCTGATTGGCTAATAGCAACACAACTCTTCTACTGCCTCCATTTGATTGGCAATGTTGATGTTTTAGCTCCACAATTAAGCTGGAAGGAGTTCTGTCATGTTTGGAAGTGGCTAATGCTAACAGTTAGCTTCTACTAGCTGAGAGGCACCTGGTTGCTAAATCAACAACAGCCTTCCACCATAAATGGGATTGCAATTCAAAGAGTAAAAGAAACAAAATTTCTTGGAGTTCTTATTGATGAAGACTTGTTAGAAAAGAGAACTAGTAATTACATGCTGAAACAAACTGATGTGTGTCATGAGTCTGGGTGAGTGCTCCTCTCAAATATTCCAGCTTTGAGTTGTGTTTCAGGAGAGGGAGGCTTCCAGCTGTGGCAGATTAACAATCAGCGGTACCAGCTACTTAAGGAGTGGGAGAACACACCTCGACGTGGGATGATTACTACAACTCAGTAGTTTTCCAGTGATCTAGTGTTTTTTGTGACTCTTGTGATTTTTGGGATTTATTGATTTTTTTTTGTTGTTGTAATTTTGTGTTGCTCTCGACTGCCTCAGGATTTTGGATCATCGCTGGTGCAGAAACATCTCTGGATTCTGTTACTCACCTGGATACTCACCTTCTACATAAACCTTCCAGACTCAGTGCTCTGGTGTTCTCCTCCATCCGCTCAGCTCACCTGCTCTCCACACGTTACCTCTCCCGGACCTACTCACCTGGACACACCCTGACTCTAGATCTGCCCTTCCCTATGCCTCCTCCTACCGATTTCCCTGTAAGTCTTTTCTCTGCACCTTACCAGTTAAGACTTACCTCTCAGGACTCGCCTTTATCTGCTCTCTCCCTTCTCAGATGCTGCGCTCCGTCCTCCTGACCCTCGGCTGGAATTTCCAGTGTGCCCTATGTTCTCGTTATAAAAATAATCTTTTATCATTTTGTTTAAAACCCGTGAGTTGTGTTGTGATTCTGCATGTCCTGGGTTAAGCGCCTTCCCCAGACCATGACAATGTGTTTACAAAACCTAGATTTAGAACTAAAATTAAGGAGTGGAATATATCTGTAAATGGTGTTAAATTATGGATTAACCTTAAAGGTGAAATTAAAAAAACTCTTGTCATTTAATATATTCATAAAATGTACCAAATTGAGTGTACTAAATAATTATGAAATTGTAAATTAAATCAATGATCATGATCACACTGGAATTAAGAACAGGAAAAAGTTTAAAATGAATCTGTGTGTGTCTGACAAATGGTAATTATATATATAAATAGATTATTTCTACTGAAAAAGGGGGCCGAAATTATAAGATGTTTTTCTTCATTCTGCTCCTTTTCCTTCAAATGAGATTTTTTGTTATGTATTTCTTATTGTTTATATTTGTTTTTATTTTGAATGAAATAAACGAAGGAAAAAAAGCAAAAATTTACATTGTGACGTAGATCTGACTGGATTTTTCTGAACCAAGCATTCCCTGTCTATTTTCTTGCAGTAGCTAATGCATGAAATAGGGGTAGAAGACATTTTTTACAATCTGCATGCATGTGAAACTCATACTGACTGATACTATTTACATTTCACAGGAAGCCTGCTCTTTAAGTAGAATTATAAACCTCACCTCTCCCACCATGCCATTCCATTCCCCATCAATGTTCTTCCCATGCCTGCCATTTGTCACCAAGTAAAGGTCATAAGTGAAGCCCACAATCTTAGCCAGACGCTTTAGGACATCGATGCAGAACCCTTTGCAGCAGTGCTTCAAAGGACTGGCGCCATCCACCACCAAACTGAGAAAATTATTAGAGAAAAGACACAACATTAGGTAAAAACTATTCCCGACATCTGACAACATTAAATCAAATTCGTGTTCCAGCAAGTGTAGAAAAACCCAGAAACAAGATAAAATGAAAGGGAGAAAGAAGATGAAAATATAAAATGTAGCTATGAATTATTGGCCGGGGCTGGTTACTGGATGAAAACTGACAGCCTGTCAATGTGTTTCGTTCAGACAGATCAAAAGAAATAACATCTCAGATTATAGGATAATTCTTTTTGTGCAGATGTCACCTTAGAAAAACTCGAGCAAACACACACACAATCCATCTCACCTCTCTGGCTTATTAGCAGTGACCACCTCCACACCACGGCTAAGCGACACATACTTTAAATCAAGTAGAATTTGATGACCATCAGTCAAGTGTCTGCAGCGGCCTCCGTCAGTCCTTTATAGCATTCGATGGCCTCTCAGACACTTAGTGATCACAATCTCTAGGCTATGTTACCTAGCAACGCAGCCTGCACCCCTGTGAAAGTGTTTTTATTACAACTCAGATAGATTGAAAATAAAATGGGACAAACAGTTTCTTGACAAAGGTCATGTGGTTGTAAAAATATTCAAAATAATTCTAATTCATTCAGAAATTCAATTCAATTCAATTCAAAAGTACTTTATTAATCCCAGAGGGAAATTAGAGTTTCAGTACGCACAATTCTGAGATCAGACATACATACATAGACACATGACAAGAATTGGTGGCTGTGGTCTTTAGCAACCTGAGTCGCGCTACCGTTATAGATCAAGAGGGTTTATACGAGGATAGAGTCAGGGGGAGGGAAAAAAGGCATTTCATAGCTACCCTCTATTAAAAAAAACACCTCACACAGATATGCACACAGACTTCAGACGATACACATCTAAGTGTCCACGAGGGTAAAACGTGGTATTTTCAATACAATAAAATAAACCGTATGTTTGCAAGCTGTTTTTGGATTTTTGTAAGCAATGCAGCACTGGTCTGTGGCTGCTTCAAAAGCTCTTGAAACACTTACTCTCATGTTGTTGAAATCTGAGTGAATGTGAGCTGAAATATGCCTTAGAGTTTGTGAGGAAAACTGTCAGATGCATTACTTGGCTTGTAGAGGGCAAAGGGTAGCACAGAAATCTAGAGCTGAAGTAAAACACAAAAGATTTTGCTCTGCAGGTACGTCTAGCCCAGGGTTGAGCAATCCTGCTCCACATGCGCCGCTATCCAGTAGTTTTAGTTGTTAACCTGCTCCAGCACACCTGATTTCTAGATGATTCACCTGTTCAGCAACTCATCAGGCTCTGCAGCAGCCTGTTAATCAACAGCAGAATGAAACCAGGTATAAAACCTGCTGGACAGTGGCCCTCGAGGACCAGAATTGCCCACCTCTCATCTAGCCATACTATTGTAGCCTCAGCAGGTTCAGCTAAGCCAAACGATTTAGTGTTTAGCCAACAACAATGCTCTATGTTTGTTGGGTGCTTAACACAAAAGCTGTGACTGAGAAAAACTACAAAGCTGGCGTCGGGTAAGGAGAGGCTATTATTTGCGATGACTTAGAACATCCACTTAGAACAATTTAGACATGAGCAGATGAAGGTACTTAAGTTCTTTACTTCCTGTATTTACTTCTTCTTTGATGGTCCATGGTGGACTGAACCACTGACTTGAACAACAGTGCAGCACTGACTTTCCTTCTCCCTCAAAAGACAATGCCTTTTGCCAGGCCGCAGTAAATAAGAAGTATGTTCTTAATCTGTTTAGCCCGGTTAAATAAAGGTTGAAAAAATGACATCTGTAGCAATAAACACATCATGTTCAGTGATCTGACTGGTCCAAGTGCTGTCCAACTTTATGCAGAGAAAGTTTGAAAGACAACTTTAGATTTTGTCACACTCTGTCCTGTCTATATCTGTGTGTGTGTGCGTGTGTGTGTGTGTGTGTGTGTATTGCCCCCAGATTTTCATGTATTTATTTATGATGGGAGGTGAAATAATGTTCTATCTGGGAAAATTAACTATTTCTGACCTCTTTTTGGAAACTTTCTTGCTCTTTCTATTAAACTTGTAGTTCGAAAACACATTATGTCAGGGTTGAATTCATTTTTTACTACTAAACTAAAACCCTTCATTAAAATATTACAGCCTACCTTGAGATGGCAGAAAAATGTCATCTGTCCTTTTTTTTGCCTCTGTTTAATGGTACAATTAAAACTGACGATTTTCAAGTAAGTCTCTCGAAATTCCAAATCTCATTTTCATCTACACTTATTTTATTATATTACCTGGAGTTCATGGGCATACGGCAGGGCACGGAGTCCCGGATGCACGATCCGGTGCCCGGGTCTGCAGGCTCCACAATGACAAATGGCCTCTCCTCCAGGGTGACCACTCGGAGGTGTTGGGAGTCATCTAGGGGCTTCAAGAAAGAGCCATAACGAGACCAGGGGTGGTAACGGAGACGAAGGTGTCCATTCTCCCACCAACCAACCTGAGAAATGAAGAATTTTAAAATAAAATGCGTAGGTTTGGCAGATTTTCTGTATCAAAAACCATCATCTCAAGGAGTAGTTTATCAGAGAATAACAGAGAATTGTTCACACGGTCAATTGTAAAATCTATATTCATCTGCTGTATTCAGCAAAATGGAAAGTGAAGGTAAGCCTCCACAACCATACAACTTACATTTAGAAAATTTTTTACAAAAAAACATAAACATAACCACATTGTGAACAATGGTTCATTTAGTTATTTTTATTATGTCAACAACAAAAAAATAAATGTGGAAGTCATCAGTTACTTTTACACTCACTGGACGGCAGTTTATTTCAGATTTTCTGCCCTGATTTATACATAGTAATACTTTCAAGCCACATAACCAGCTATTCTCATTTCAATTGCTTTTCCAGGTTTTTCGTTACTGAACTGCAAATGTTCTACTCTTTTTTGATAAAAGATGCCTAAAAAGAAGCTTAAGCTAATATATTTCACACAAATAGAACATTTTTATACACAGACTAAAGAGCTACATTGTGGCATTTTTGCAGTAGCTCAAACTTTTTCTGTCTCCCCTTGTATCATATTAAGGGTACAGTAAACTTAGGCTACATTTACACTGCAAGCAAAAAAGCATGAAATCTGCTTCAGATATGTGACCCGTATCAGATTTTTTATGACAGTCTGAACAGCAAAGATTAGATTTTTCAAATGCGATCCATGTCACTTGAATATGTGGTAGTAATTCTGACACAATTGATAATTGATGTTTTTGAAAGCAACTGCAGTCTGAATGGTCATGCTGCATTAAATTAGTCTCCTACGTCACTGAGTCAACTGAGGTGAGAGTCGTGTGTGGATGCTCCTGAGGAGAAGCGCTGACAGAAGGATTCAGGAGTCGGTCTGGACATCTTGTTTTAAGCTTTGGAATTAAAAATACAGGAGAGCATGAGAACGGGAGCAGGAGGGGCTGCTGGAGCGAAGTGTTTCATCGGTGTCCGTGAAGGAAGGGAGGGCGGGTCTTCGTGAGAAGGGAATTAATACCGGGTTTCATATGGGTTTCAGCACCCAAACCCAAGGAGATGTTCTCCTACCCTACGGATTTCAGCATCATGGGCAGCTCCTCAGCCCTTGGAGAGCTGTTCTCTTGTCTTATGTGTTTCAGCACCATGGACAGCGCCCTGACAAGCCTCTGCTCCTGCGTCTCCTCCCAGTGGCTGCAGCCTGCACAGCTGATGCGCTGTCCAACCCGCATGGCACTCAGTAGTACTCGGATGTCCCCAGATAACTTTGTTCTAAGCTTGCCTGGAGCTAGTGATCTTGAGAGTGAATAATTGGTTTAAACGACACCCATTTAATGTGGGTATCTTGATTTAATATAGCCTTATCTACAGAACAGTGCTGATAATTACAACTAACTTCAAGAAGCTTTGTTGTCTGTTTTACCCTTACGGTGGGTTTTCCCAGTTAATTTAATTGAGTTACTCGAACCTGCTAGGTTACATTGTTTAAGTGTTGCTTTCTCACCTAAAAAGATCAGAACCCATTTTAGCATTTTTGTGACTTTCTGATTTGGGATGTTTCTCAGATATGTTTGAGAAAAATGCTTAATTCTAAGGACACATTTCTACAAACAAGTACATTTTACAACAGTATTTACCATTAGAACCTCTTTTAGGCTCAAAATCAGCTGCTTGACTTGTCAAGTCCGCCATTTTATACAGCCCCAACCTCACCTTGCTGAGTGGACTTTTTAGCACTATGGTGCCTTCTAGGCAGGTAGATGTAAACATAAATCCAGTGTCATGCCCGGAAACATAAAATTTAGATTTATATATATATATATATATATATATATATATATATATAATTTTTTTTTTTCAAAATATAGCTTCAAGAAGAAACTTTACATTTATTCTACACACATCTAAAACCCTGTGGAAGTATTACTATTTTTTAATATAGATTTTTATTAAAATTTTCCATATTCTAACTTTAAATCTAAGCTAATCTAGCATGTAATTTTCCAAATGATCTGAACTGGTACACCACTCCTATTTTTTCTGTTTCCTTGTAATAATGCTCATCTGAATAAATCACAGCAAATAAATAAAAGAGTGTTTTTGTTTAACTCTGGGATTTTATAACACTTTACTCTAGTTCAATTGAAGACAGATTGGATGGTGCAAACAAGGAATTGTTCCAAACAAAGAAATGCAAGAGCAACACATTTTTCATAGTCACTGGGTATGCATTCATCCTTGTGACTCCTGCCAACAGTGGATTTATTACTCTCAATTGTTTTTTTTTTTTGTTCTTTCTTCACTCTGATGATCTTCTGCATATTCTTGCAAAACTGTTTTAATTGAAAGCCTGTGAAACAACAAGGTATACATTCTGATCAGTTACATAAGTGCAGCGTTTCTGAAAAGGGAATACGGTGCTGACTTCTTGAAAAGAAAGAAGAGTGAGGGTTCATAGAAGTTTTAATGTTTTACTAAGGTAAACAATCTGTTTTTGATAATTATAGTTAAACCAAAGTTTAGTCATTTTTTCATTCATTTTCAACATTTTGTACTACTTTCTGAGTCTAACCTTTTAAATCATGTTTGAAATTCAGTCACTGTAACATTAAAGTTGTGGGTAGCATACTAATGCAATAGGGCAGAATTGTGTCTCGATAAGAACAGAGACTTTATCTCGAATAGTATCTTTAATTCTATACTTAATGACTCATTTGAAGTTGTGGTGTACCTCAGGGATGTGCTTTTGTCACCCTTTTTTCATTAAAAGTTTTTTCTACGTCAGTTTATACAGAACCCTGATGTCCAATGATATGTTTTTGCAAATGCCACACAGTTCTACTTGATTATAAAATTAGTTAACATTGATTGATGAGATCCGCACTTTAGTAAGTGCATTGGGTGTTTGAATGTCAAAATAAACTGTCTGAAAATCTCCAAACTCTGGAGTCATTTGTACAAATCCTCATGGATTAAGGAATTGTAGCTTCCTAAATTAGTGATCCTAAAATCCTAAAATGAGTGAAAACACAGGCTATTACAAGATAGAGGGAGGAAATTTAGATGAGTTGGGTTTTTCTGGAAAAATAAATTACAATACTGTACATCACATACTACACTGAACAATAGAGGTAGAAAACTCAAATGTGTTTATCTTTAAATATTAACAGGTTTAGTCTGAATAAGACTTTGTGTAAATTGAATGTTTGCAAGTGATGTTATAAATTGGTAGCATTTTATTATAAATAAACACAGAAACAACAGAGGGAATCTTACTAGTCCTGGTTTACAGACACAAAGAGGTGAATTAAAATAATTGATTATACAATTTCTGTCATCAGCCTAATGTAAAACTTTCTTAAAGGTTTGGCGGACGATCTTTTCCTTCCGGATGGATCATCTGAATCATTGGTCCTCACAACTGTCAATCCCTCTGATGAAGCTTTCACACAGGGCCGACATCATAAATGCTCATTCCTGGATTAGTTTTCACTTCCTGGACATGCACATCCTGTTTTTGTGTAGAGCTACTGTATATGTCTTCATTCCTCCCCATTCTCACCGGGTTCTTTTAAAAATGGCTGAGAGTCGCAAGAGACAAAGTGTCTTTGAAGTCAACGATAAGAAGAGAAAGGTGTCCAAAGTGAGAAAAAGGATCAGAGATTTTTTTAGGATACTCTTTTCAATGATGGTGTGCACTGAAAGCAATGGTCGGGCTCCCCACAGATTCCTCTGTTGCCGATTTTCTCTCATGGAATTTTTTTTTTCAAAAACATGGAGACATGGTAATTTCCTGAAATTCAGAAACATCCTCCATCATAACTTTAAAAAAGAAATGCAGGGGGGAAAATGCAATCACTCACTAGATTCGGTAGACACCCCCCACCACCATCACACACACAAACACATACACTCAACATGATGCAGAGAAATGCATTATAATCATCCATATTGGATGCTCCTTGGATTTGGGGCTATTACTAAACAGCAGTTCCACTCTAACGGAAAAAGAAGATAGGACAGTGAGTTAGAGGTGTCTAACAAGACTGGCAATCCCAGACAAGAGAAGGAAACAGTACAGAAGAGGGGGAAGGGGGGGCTTAAATGAGATCTAATGAGATGTGGGTGAGACAGAAGCAGTAAGGCAGCAGAGAGGTGACAATGTGCACTGATGAGTTAGCATGTTTGATAGAGTGTGAAATTGCAGCTAGCTTATTTGTGTTTTGATAATTAGCAACAATTTGCACAGATGTTTACTGACCTCCTCCCAGCCTCTCCCGTTGGTGTAGGAGATTACATCAATTAAGGGATTGGACAGGTAGCCATCACTGTTGAAGGAATAATCTCGCCCACCGATGGATATGTTGGTGAAGTACCTGGAACAAATAGTTGGAACATTACTGCACACTGTCACTTTGGAGCACTTGAGAGTCAAGAAAAACAAAAGGCGAACATTCTTGCAAGGCCTAAACACTATTATTTTAGTAGCCTTGATAAAAAAGCATTTCCTCAAATCTCCCTTTCACAGAGCAGTGCTTGGTGGAAAAGAAAGAATTTTGAAAATATATTGTTAGGTAACCTTTAAAAGATGCTACCTCTTAGTTAAGAGTGCTTTTAAGTGCTGGTTGTAGGGAAGTGAAGAAAAAGATAAGCATGCTTTGATGTTTTTGAACAAATCGTTGTACATACAGAGCAATTATAAAACACATACATTTTAATATGTTTGAAGTCATTAATAATGCATCGCTTCATGAAGATGTGTGGTTAAAATGATTATGATTATGTGCAACCATATGTTTATAGAAGCTCCAGCCATCTTGGATGTGAGGTGTTGTCATGGAAGCTGTATGTTGTAGCAACTTCTTTGTATCTGAGAAAAATTGTGAAATCGTTGTCGTCATCGTCGCTGTCGTCGTCATCGTCGTCGTCTTCCTCCGCTTATCCGGGTCCGGGTCACGGGGGCAACATCCCAACTACGGAGCTCCAGGCCGTCCTCTCTCCGGCCTTCTCCACCAGCTCCTCCGGCAGAACCCCAAGGCGTTCCCGGACCAGATTGGAGATGTAACCTCTCCAACGTGTCCTGGGTCGACCCGGGGGCCTCCAGCCAGCAGGACATCCCCCTAACACCTCAGCGTCCAGGAGGCATCCTGACCAGATGCCCAAACCACCTCAACTGGCTCCTTTCGATCCGGAGGAGCAGCGGTTCTACTCCGAGTCCCTCCCGAATATCCGAGCTCCTCACCCTATCTCTAAGGCTGAGCCCGGCCACCCTACGGAGGAAACTCATTTTGGACGCTTGTATCCGCGATCTCGTTCTTTCGGTCATTACCCAAAGCTCATGACCATAGGTGAGGATTGGGACATAGATCGACCGGTAAATCGAGAGCCTGGCTTTCTGGCTCAGCTCCCTCTTCACCACGACAGATCGGCTCAGAGTCTGCATCACTGCAGACGCCGAACCAATCCGCCTGTCGATCTCCCGATCCCTCCTACCCTCACTCGTGAACAAGACCCCGAGATAATTAAACTCCTCCACTTGAGGTAGGACCTCTCCCCTGACCCGGAGTTGGCAAGCCACCCTTTTCCGGTCGAGAACCATGGTCTCAGATTTGGAGGTGCTGATCCTCATCCCAGCCGCTTCACATTCGGCCGCGAACCTACCCAGCAAGAGCTGAAGGTCAGAGCTTGATGAAGCTAGGAGGACCACATCATCCGCAAAAAGCAGAGACGAGATTCTCCTGCCACCAAACTCGACACACTCCACACCACGGCTGCGTCTAGAAATTCTGTCCATAAAAGTGATGAACAGAACCGGTGACAAAGGGCAGCCCTGGCGGAGTCCAACCCTCACTGGGAACAGGTCCGACTTACTACCGGCTATGCGGACCAAACTCACGCTCCTCTGGTAAAGGGACTGAATGGCCCTTAACAGAAAGCCACCCACCCCATACTCCTGAAGCGTCCCCTACAGGGTGCCCCTGGGGACACGGCCATAAGCCTTCTCCAAATCCACAAAGCACATGTGGATTGGTTGGGCAAACTCCCATGCCCCCTCCATCACCCTTGCAAGGGTATAGAGCTGGTCCACAGTTCCACGGCCAGGACGAAAACCACATTGCTCCTCCTCAATCTGAGAATCAACTATTGATCGGACCCTCCTCTCCAGTACCTTGGAGTAGACCTTTCCAGGGAGTCTGAGGAGTGTGATCCCCCTATAGTTGGAACACACCGTCAGGTCACCCTTCTTAAAGATGGGGACCACCACCCCGGTCTGCCACTCCACAGGAACTGCCCCCGATGACCACGCAATGTTGCAGAGACGTGTCAACCACGACAGCCCTACAACATCCACAGCCTTGAGATACCCAGGAAGAATCTCATCCGCCCCTGGGGCTCCACCGCTGTATAGTTGTTTGACTACCTCAGCAACTTCTGCCCCCGAGATTGGACAGTCCATCCCCAGGTCTCCCGGCTCTGGTTCCTCCTCGGAATGCGTGTAGGTGGGATTGAGGAGCTCCTCAAAGTATTCCTTCCACCGTCCGACTAGCCCCAGTTGACGACAGCAGCTCCCCATCCCCACTGTAAACAATGTGAGCGAGTTGTTGCCTTCCTCTCCTGAGGTGCCGGACAGTTTGCCAGAACCTCTTTGGAGCCAATCTACAGTCTTTCTCCATGGCCTCACCAAACTCCTTCCACGCCCGATAATTTGCCTTGGCAACTGCCACTGATGCACCCCGCTTGGCTATCCGGTACCTGTCTGCTGCCTCCGGAGACCCACCGACCAGCCACGCCCTGTAGGCCTCCTTCTTCAGCCTGACTGCTACCCGAACCTCTGGTGTCCACCAGCGGGTACAGGGTTGCCACCACGACTGGCACCGACCACCTTGCGACCGCAGCTAGCAACAGCTGCCTCAACAATAGCAGAGTGGAACAAGGCCCACTCGGAATCAATGTCCCCCACTGCTCTCGGGACATGGTCAAAGCTCTGCCGGAGGTGGGAGTTTAAGACCGTCTTAACAGGTTCTTCTGCCAGGTGTTCCCAGCAGACCCTCACTATGCGTTTGGGTCTGCCAGGTCAATGCGGCATCTTCCCCTGCCATCTGATCCAACTCACCACCAGGTGGTGATCAGTTGACAGCTCCGCTCCTCTCTTCACTCGGGTGTCCAAAACATACGGATGCAGGCCAGATGATACGACTACAAAGTCTATCATCGACCTGCGACCTAGGCTGCCCTGGTACCAAGTGTACCGATGGACATCCTTATGTTCGAACATGGTGTTCGTTATGGCCAAACTGCGGCTTGCACAGAAGTCCAATAACAAAACACCACTCGAGTTCAGATTAGGCGGGCCGTTCCTCCCAATCACACCCCTCCAGGTCAAGCTGTCATTGCCCACGTGAGCATTGAAGTCCCCCAGCAGGACAATAGAGTCCCCTGATGGAGCACTATCTAGCACTTGTCCCAGGGACTCTAAAAAGGTTGGGTACTCTGAATTGGTATTTGGCCCATAAGCACAAACAACAGTCAGGGCCCATTCCCCGACCCAAAGGCGCAGGGAAGCCACCCTCTCGTGCCCCGGGGTAAACCCCAACACACAGGCAGAGAGTCTTGGGGCTAACAAAAAGCCAACCCCAGCCCTTCGCCTCTCACCCGGAGCAACTCCAGCAAAGGAGAGTGTCCAACCCCTCTCAAGGACTTGGGTTCCAGAGCCAATGCGATGCGTCGAGGTGAGTCCGACAATATCTAGCCGGTACCGCTCAACCTCTGTCACAAACTCCTGCTCCTTCCCCACCAGCGAGGTGATGTTCCATGTCCCAAAAACCAGTTTTCTTGTCCGGGGTTTGAACTGCCAAGGCTCCCGCCTTTGTCTGCCACCCGATCCACATTGCACCGGACCCTTCATGTTCCTCCTGCGGGTGGTGGGTCCACAGTTAGATGAGCCCATGTACTCCAGTTTGGGCTGGGCCCGGCCGGGCCCCATGGGCGAAAGCCCGGCCACTAGGCTCACTGGCCCCAACCCCAGGCCTGGCTCCAGGGTGGGACCCCGGTAACCCTCCGGGCCGGGCACTTCGACTCTTTGAATTTACTTCCATGAAAGATCCTGTGAACCATTCTTTGTTATTTGGTTCTAAACTAGAAATTTGTTTATTAAAAACAACATCAGACGCAATCTGCCGTGCCAAGTCTATGCACCCTTGGTGTGGAGGTTCTCGCTCGATCCGGGGGGTCACACTGGTAACTGCTGGTGCAGTGAACCTCTGATATCAGGAACCTGTTGACGGTTCCAATAGTACCCGTCCAGTCTGAGATCCCTCGAGGTGAAGGCCGAAAACTGGAATATTTATTTGCATCTAAGGTTGATGTTTGCTTGGCTCTTAGAAGAGCTGGTTGTCTGGTATCAGCCAAATTTTGCAGAGAAGCTATGACAGGAGGTCAAAGGAGAAGATGGTTTCAAAAATGCTTCTTTCCCGAATTGACCATTTTGAGGGTTAGCGAGAAACTGAATTAATCGGGAAGTAAGTCTTGTTTTATTGAATTACTTTGTTATGATTTCTGGCCAAGTTTGGCCAATCAGAATTTGACAATTTTCTGCGTATTTACCAACATTCCTCAAAAAGCCAGACCTTCCTTCAGATACAATATTCTTAACACTGTGAATAAGAATTACTTAAAACACTTATGTGAGGTGAACCTTAACCTTAATTTGTATCTTATGAAGATGTGTATAAGTGTAGATAATGATTAACTTATTAAATCAAACACATACTGATTTGTGATATAAATGGATCATTGTAAGAACAATATTCATTTCAAATTCATTGATTTAAGCACAGGTTATTCAAACATTTCATTTAAACATCTTGTTCCTTCATCACATATGATTACTGTAAGCTTGTAAAATCATGTAATCTTCAATTATTCAGAGTGAAGAATGTTGATGTCTGCAATCACACAGTGAGTGAAAGAACCTTGGGTGAGAATGTTTGTTTGAATGTTTTGTCTTCATGCTATGTAAACAAGCACTGCAGAACCCTCTGGATTTAGAAGGCCGAACAGAAAATGGATTTATTTCTGTAGATGAAAGGTCACCATTAGGGATGAGCGAGTACACCACTATCTGTATCTGTATCTGTTCAACCATCTAAATTATCTGTATCTGTATCTGTACTTGGAGTGGGCGTGGCCTAACCCAGAAGGTGGTGTAGTTTAACTGGTAGTGGGTGTGTTTTACATCAATACGTTATTTTAAGTCTGATCAGAAGTTGCTATGTGTATTGTTTATTTAAAAACTATTTACAGAGCAGCCTCAGAGTTGAGATTAAATGTTTTTGATCACAATAGTAAAGGAACTATTACAGAACAAGTTTTTCAA